AAAAAACCTTTGTACAACATGTCTTCATGAATGTTTTAATAAGCGTAGATTCACTAAGCTGCTTCCAAAGGGCCAGAATGATCAGCTAAGAGATAAAGTACAGAGGCAGGTAAGCTAGGAGAACAAGGCCAGGAGTGAACACATTCATTCAGTCGTTTCCAAAGCATCCAAACGGTTGTACATTATCCGCACTTTACGCCGAAGTGGCGTCCCTGCTGAAGATTTACTTGAGATCTATTTCGCGATCATACGCTCAGTGTTAGAGTATTGTTGTGTGGTTTGGCATAATACTTTACCTTCGTATCTTGCTAACCAGTTAGGACGAGTCCAGAAACGCGCACTTAGAATTATTTTACCAGAATACACCTATAGTGAAGCTGAAATGGGCCCAGCTAGAAGAGAGACGAGAAAAACTTTGCCTTAAAACCTTGAAAAATATACCACAAGGAAGTCCTTTATTTAGTCACATTCCTGCACCGAGAGACACCTGTTACGATTACAACCTAAGAATTTCTAATGCATTAACTACGATCAAATGCAGATCAGAACGGTACCGCCGCAGCTTCTTTCCGAGCATTGTGGCTATTTTTAATGACAGTGGCAACATTTAAATACAGAATTTATATAAGTACAAAGTAACGTCTTAATATTTTTAACTCTTTAATCCTTATTATTGTTAATATAGTAATTAAATACTTAGTTGTAAATTCATCGCAATTCAAATTTATGCGATGGTGATTAAACATGAATAATAATAATAAAAAAAGAATAGACCTCCAGTGCCTGCATTGTATAAAAATTGCCCGGCATTTCAAAATTTCCTGCATTAAAGTAATATTTTGGTTTAAATGTCATTCTAATTAGAACAAGCCATCAGGGCCGCCCAGAGGTTGGCGGGGGCCCGGGGTAAATTTTTTTTTAGGGGCCCCTCTCTAAAAAAATTTTCCCGGAAAAATTTTTTCCGGAGAACAACCTCCCCCCCCCCCCGGTCGCCAAAAAGTTTTCGGTCAGTGTACCATTTTAGGGGTAAAATATTTTTTCCGGAGTACAAAATTTTTCCGGACGAGTACGTTGCAATCGCTTTCGAGGGACTTTATCTCATTTTTTTATGCCAAAATTCGGTACTTAGCCCAAGAAAACAGATATCTTGTCCTTTGCGGAAATATTTAACACAAAAAGGCTGGGCCCAACAAAAATTTTTCAGGGGCCCCCAGCAACTCGGGGCCCGGGGCAATTTGCCCCCTCTGCCCCCCCCCCCTCTTGGCGGCCCTGCAAGCCATAAACACATGCATACTCTGATTAATTTTATGGTTTAGAGTTGTGAGCTTTGGCACACGCACAAACTGTTCAAATTAAACAATTTAGGGAACTTGTGTTTAATAATCTGAATTTAACAAATTAATATATTCAATGCAGGGTTACCCAAACGGAGAGATGTCAAGGGCAGGAAAGTTTCCACTGCAGTGCACTGGTCATATATAAACATATAAACAGTATTACATAATACATAATAATATAGTAAATATATAAACAATATTACATAATAGGTATTTATAGTATGTATATTAAACTGCATGAAAAACAACAACACAAAATAAAATGTAAATCTTACTTTAAAATTTCTATAATTATAGAAAATGTGATTTGATCGACTGCCAAAAAGGAAGCCCCATGTGGAATGTTTTTCGTGGATGTGGACATTCGTTCCACATTGTCTGCATCCTCTCGGACATTAGCGATTGCCCGATTTGTCGAACAGTTTTATCGAAAACAGTTGAAGACCTCGGTCAAACAGCAAACAATTCCGTATCAAATGTGCACGTGTTCGTGCCCTCTCCTGCTGGGGAAGAAAGCGACGAAGAGGACGATTTATTCGACGACGATGACGACGAAGACGATCAACAGTGCGACGACTAAAACGAAACTGTCAACATTGACCAGAGGCGGCCCAATCTCTGAACGTCCTATATATTTTGAATATTTAACCGTTATAATATTTTAAAATAAGGCCAATGAAAATTGATATCATGTTTCTCGTCCACAATTTTCAAAAATTTGGAGCGGGATTTTTTCATTTTTCATTTTTCATTATTTTTTGTATTTGAATTCTGCTTGTCAAAAATTTCCTTGACCCAGTAAAAACCCCCATAAAATTCTGAAGTATTAAAAATTGGTGTATAATTCATTTTAATTTAATACGTCCTACACTACAGTCTAGAGACTACAGTATATTTATGCACCTACCAGGGCTGACATGAAAAATAGAGGCATTCTGGCGAGTAATATCTTTAGAAAGATACAATTTGAGTTGCGCTTGCGGAATGCAGCAATAAGACTTTGATCTGGAGATGAATTTGGTCTTTTTTAAGCCTATTTTTCAAGAATAATGAATAATGAAAAATTTTCGTGCGGCAGATAAATCCCATGCGGACGGGGACGAGAAACATGATGTAAAAAATATATCTCACTTGTTAATAGAATCCATTTGTTGTGTTTCTGAGTCTAGTTGATGCGATTGCTTTACGTTTTCGTCGTACTTGAACGGTCGTCAGTACTATGGCACTGGACGACATGGCCGTATAGGACATAAATAACTAATACTCTCCGACATCGAGTCCAATATCTCGCCTCAGAATCGTGGCAGAGCAATAAATTTCACATCGTCTAATAGCATGAACGTTCTTCTTTCGAAAGAACTTGGTTTCTTCATCATTGCGGCAATTCCCGCGACACACGACGAACTTTGTTTGTCAAAAGTCCAAATTTCCATTTTCGAAAGAGGCGCTAACCCCATGACCGTCGCCACGAGAAGCGGCTCAGCAACCTGGCCTCCTCGTTTGAAAACATTCCATCAGGGGGGAGGAGCTGGACTGGAATGAGGGAGCTTTCAAAGCAACACGATAAAATACACGATATAAATAGAAATTATTACTTTATCATGCTGTATTCGACAATAAACAAGTATTAAACATTTATATCGTGTGTTTTATCGTGTTGCTTTGAAAGCCCCCTCATTCCAGTCCAGCTCCTCCCCCCTGATGGAATGTTTTCAAACGAGGAGGCCAGGTTGCTGAGCCGCTTCTCGTGGCGACGATCATGGGGCAGTGTTTCCACTTTTAAGGAAATTTCCTTTTTCAAGAAAATTTTGACCGGAAAAAGACGTTTCAAGGAAAAAAAAGGAAGCAAGGAAATCTAAGGAATTTTTGAAAATTCTAAGGAAATTTAAGGAATTTTTTAATCAACTGAAATGTTTTGAAGATTCTTTCAGGAACCTTTCATTAATTTTAAATTATATTACTTTCCTTCGTTCATAACCAATATGTCTGTGTGCAAAAATGAAAAAACATCTTTCGGAGCCTGTAAACGAGTCAGTAGAATCTAGAACTTTAATTCAGCTAGTTAAGTAGGCTGCACACAACCTGAATTTTAGGCGGAAATCAAGTAGCGTGCTGTGTCCAGTCTACCACGTGTTGGTTATATGAATTTATTTGTCATGTGAATTTGTTGACTATTGAGAACATTATTTAAAAAAACCCTAGTATTTTACATTTTAAAGCTTTCAAAATTGTTGTGTAACGGCTTTGTTTTTAAGAGTTGAACAAAAGAAATATACCATTCTGTTTCTGTCTTACTTTATATAAGTATTGATGAATTCTAGTTGCCGAAATATACTTCGGTCCAGTGCTTCAATTTTCAAAAAACATAATTTCCTTCCAACCGTTCAAAATTTCCTTATTTTTGAAAAAATTTCCTTGCAATAAAAATTATTGAATTTTACCTAATTTAAAACTGATTTTATAGTAATTTATCTCGAATAACCGGGTATTTCTTGTTCTAGAAGGCACGTAGACGTTGCACGAGCTGAATTATCAAGGGGGAGAGACAAAGTGTTTACTTAGAATAACACGAAGGGGAATAAGAGCCCAGCAAATAACTTTAAAACCATGCACAATAAAAGTAAAACATTATTAGCTAACGTTCCGTTGTTTACAAAACAACATCTTCAGAGCAATCTAAATGAATTTAGGCCAAGTAAAAAAATACATATGTTTCTCGTCCACGCCCGCTTCTTTTTTCTTAGCCGCTTCCTTTTTTTTGGCTGGTTTTCCTCTACAAATTTCGCTTCATGTTTTTGAACTTTATTTTTAATAACTTGAAGTATTAAACTGGAACTACTGCGGGCTCATTCAAAATCTTATCTGCTGACCAAATTCAATGGCGACGAACCACCACGAACTCACAGCATGCTTGTCATACTTCGCCGTGCTTGGCTGCATACTTTAAAAGCCTTTTATAATTCACGCTTTCAATATTGCGTGTATTTTTCTTACTAAACTGTATGAAAGCTTATTACTTTACTTGGCCTTACAGGGTATGGTATATATATATATTTACAAAATAATGATTAAATATTGCAAAAACGTTTACATAGTTTGAAAGAACAAATGAATGGAAAGAAAGGAAAACAACTTATCAGTAACTAGTTAATTCGTTAAGATTAATGTTAAGTGTATGGTTAGTATTGTTAAGATTAATATTACATAACTAAGATAACACAAGAGGGCTAGATCTAGTATTAGCATTAAAGACAAGGTTAAGTTGAGAAATTAACAGATCTTCACGGATACTGAGACGATCCCATTCAGAAATGGCTGATGATAGGATTTTGAAATCAGAAGCGGAGATTGCGTGTTTGTGCATGTGTTTGTGTGCGAGTATACTAGACGTAGTTGAGATAGTCATAGTCATAGTGAGCAGTCATAGCGAGAGGAAGTCCATTTTGTAGCTCCGCTAATTTTATAAAGTTTGAAAAACTTTTGATATTGATAATCGTGAACTAACTAGTACTGTAACTGTAACTTGAAGTAAAATCGAACTCGAAGCTAGACTAAAGCAACGACATTGTTCAACGTCACCGACGGCATTGATCTCGAAGCAAGACTAAAGCAAGAACGACATTGTTCAGCGTCACCGACGGCATTGATCTACAAAAAGTTATAATGGCCTCTCTCGGTGGTAAACAACTAAACCAATTTCGCGTTGTCGATCTCAGAACAGAGCTGGAAAAAAGAGGGCTAGATAAATCTGGACTGAAGGGAGCGCTAGTTGAGCGACTTGAGAAATCATTGTTGGATTACTCTGCAGAGTTAAACGGATGTGTCTTCTCCACAGAGCAGGGTAACGAAGCGAAGAAGACGTCAGAAGCGGAAGCTACACAAACACCAAATAGCAACCTGGAGACAATTAATAAGCAGTCGTTGCAAACGAAAACAGCAGGAAAACTGTTAGAACAGTCTATCGAAATCAATACTGCAACTAAAGAAACTAATTGCAAGGAAACCATGACTGAATTCAATCCTGTACCTACAAGGTCGTCGAAATTGGAATACTCCATCGCAGAATTAATAACATCGAAGATAGTTTAAGGCGAGAAATTTCAAATAGTGTTGTTGAAATAAACGCCATACCCAGACATGAATACTCGAGGGACTATACTTCATTGCTTACTAAACAGAAGGAGGATCTCACTAACTATAATACATGTCTCAAACAAGAAAACGATGAGCTTAGAGATCGACTGAATACCATGTCACTGGCTTTGTCTGATCTAAATAAAAAAGTTAAAGATACTGAAAACGAGAACCTTAGTTTAGTAACGGCCCTAAAAATTTTATATGAAGAACAAATACGTACCCCGCAAGACAAAGACCAAATTCACACTCATGCAAATTTCGGCAAACAGACCAATAATAATGGCAAGCAAACATACTCAACGGTGGGTAAAAATAAAAGGTCTAAAATGATTCCATTTAGTTCAAAGATAACGAAAGAAGTTATTAACTTAGACTCTACCACACCGGAACAATCTTACAATGTTGTCACACGCAATCGCTACGAAGTACTCGGTAATGGAGAAGACCAATATAATACCGCAGAACAACAAAGTGAAACAACTCAAACATCCAAGGCGATGCGACCCAAGACTAGCCGAGAAGTTTCTACTAATAAAGACCAAACCAAAGCGTCATCGGAGACGAGTCTCCGTACCTATAATTCGGGCAACCAACCCGGGCGTACAATCAACGTAGCCGTTGCCGGTGACTCAATGTTAAAATACATAAATCCCTCCAAACTTAGTAAAATCTTGAAACAAAATGTCCACGTGAAAACCTTCACTGCCGGAGCAGAGGTTGCGGATATTAGCACGCGCTCCTGAGTACCTAGTTCTGCACGTTGGTACAAATGATTTAAGACAAAAATCTCCTCGCCAAATAGCAACATCGATAACTATGCTCGGACATGAAATCAATGCGAATATGCCAAATACGAAATTAATCTTATCTGAAGCAATAGTTAGAAATGATGACCCTCAGCTCATGATAAAAGTCAAAGAAGTCAATTTAAAATTATCACAGGTATGTCTAAGCAATAGATGGGATTTGCTAACTCATGGAAACATTTTAGTCAAACACTTAAACCCATATGGTGTTCACCTGAACAAACAAGGAACTGCAATCTTAGCTAAGAATCTTAGTAATTTTCTAAAACTTAAATATTGACTGCCTGAGTATATTATTATTATTATTATTATTATTATTATTATTATTATTATTATTATTATTATAATTAATTAATTCTCCAAACATTTGGTTTTTCAGATTAATATTCATGTAAATTATATCTAAATTATTCTATTGTATATTTACAGTTTAAATTCGTTAAAATTAGATAAGTTCATTAAGATTTTAAAAGACAGAGTTCAAGCAGATAATTATAAAAATTACTTTTAAAGTCTTTACAATTGCCATATACAGTAATGTTACTAGGTAGAGAGTTCCACTGGGATACTGCTCGTTGTATATGAGTTCCACAGTAGATTGCACGAATAAGGACAATATCGAACTATCTTCAGAAAAGTCTCGATACAATTCGACCATTCAAAATAATCTTATTTTAAATCCTGAAAATCGAAATGTCAGAGAAATGTGTCATGACCTATTATCACAAACTAGCGAGAATACGTTTTCAAAACTAAAAGGCTTTAGGGTGGGCCACTTGAATATTGTAAGCTTAACCAAACATATTGAGGAGCGTAGGATCTTACTACACAAACAACCTTTTGATATTATAACCTTAAATGAAACCAGACTAGACGATGCTATTAATAGCGAAGAGGTTGAGGTCGCAGGCTATGAATTAATAAGATCGGATAGAAATCGAAATGGTGGGGGTGTAGCTATCTACTTAAGAGATAATTTCCCATATGTAGAGCGATCGGAATTACTCACTGACCATGTTGAAGCAGTTTGTATAAAAATTAGGAAACAAAAGACTAAACCATTCCTTGTTTGAACTTGGTACCGGCCACCAAATTCTGATACTATATACTATTTGACAGATTTGAAAGCTTTTTACAAAAAGCAGATGATACGGGACAAGATCTCAAATATGCAAACTCTAAAAATAGTGCTGACAGCTGGAAAACAATTAACGAATTATTAAACAAAAAGTCCAAAACAACGACTCTCGATGCGATTTCTGTGAATAATGAGGTTGTTACAGGAGATAAAAACATCGCTAATGAATTCAACCAATATTTTGCTACCATTGGACCAAACTTAGCTGAAAACATCTCTACAACTGACGTTGACCCGTTAAAATACATGACAGTAAGGACAGCTGATTTTAACTTCAAAAGTATTACAAAAGCAAATGTGAAAAGCGTATTAAAGAAATCGAAACCTACCAAAGCAACAGGCACTGATAATATTTCAATTAAGCTTCTAAAATTAGCAGGTGACTCTATCACAGAACCATTAACATTCATATTTAATTTGTCTTTATTTACTGGTATTTTCCTTGAAGACATGAAATTTGCAAAAGTTACGCCAATCTTTAAAACCGGAAGTAAACTAGATTGCGGAAATTACAGACCAATCTCAGTTCTTTCGGTAGTTCCCAAGATATTCGAAAAGATTGTTTATGAACGACTCACGAAATTCCTAGACGACAATAACATTATTTCAAAACACCAGTCTGGCTTTCGGCCACTGCATTCAACCGAAACGACACTGCTTCAGTCAACTGACGAATGGCTTTTTAATATGGATAAGGGCTTAATCAATGGAGTTTTGTTTTGGGATTTAAAAAAGGCTTTCGACACAGTCGACCATAAAATTCTTCTTTTAAAACTTAAACGCTATGGAGTAGGTGGGATTGCATTCCAATGGTTTCAATCGTATCTTCAACAGCGACAACAAATCTGTAAAATTGCAGGCTCTTCTAATGCTCAAACGCTGCATTGTGGTGTTCCTCAAGGATCAAATCTTGGACCATTACTTTTCTTAATTTATATCAATGACCTACCCAATTGCCTTGAAACAACGCATGCCTCGATGTTTGCGGATGACACAAACTTGGCATGTGAAGGTGGTTCATCAGAACAAATTGAGCAAAAACTAAATAACGATCTTAATAATGTTCAAACATGGCTAACATGCAACAAACTTATATTAAACAAAGAGAAAACTGAATACATGATTATTGGCTTACGCCTGAAATTAAATAACCTATCTCGTAATCCGAACATAGTCATTGGAAACCATAGTGTGGAACGAGTTCAGGACAAAAAAGTCTTGGGTGTAAAAATTGATAAAGAATTGAAATGGAAAGATCATATCGATGCACAATGTAAGAAAATTTCTAAAAATATAGCCCTCCTAAGGAGGGCGAGAAACTTTACAACAGAACAAACGCTTTTGACAATGTATAACGCGCTAATTTTACCCCAATTAACCTATTGTTTCAATGTATGGCATGATAAAAATAATACAAATATGAACAAGCTTGTTAAACTGCAAAAAAAGCAGCTCCCGTGATAACAGGTTCTAATTATGAGATATGTTCCTCTGACATTTTTAAGAAACTTAACTGGGAACCACTAGAAACCACTCTGAAAAAACGCGAACTTGTGATGACTGTTAAAGCGATTAGAAGTTTAGCACCAAAGAATTTATCTAACCTTTTCACCGCTACTTTCAACAATGATTATAGCCTTCGAAGTAATAACAGAAATCTCTGTTTAAAAAAACCTAAGACGAATTTTATGAAAAATAGTTTCTCTTATCGTGGATCATCATGATGGAATAAACTACCTATGCAAATAAGGGATAACTACAATCAACTCTCTATTGACTCATTCAAAAGTACTATTAATGGATATTTCAAGTCATTGATTGTTGAGTGTTTGCATGATTTATGTCACTATTATATATATATATATATATGATTTAAAACAATTTTTGCATGCTATTTTGTTATTACGATATTAATTAGTTTTTAGACTGTAGATACTATACATTTGTAAATAGATGCACGGCCCTATGAAAACCAGGAAACTGATAGCTACTTACATGTTTAAATAAATTTAAATAATAGTAATAATAATAATAATAATAATAATAATAATAATAATAATAATAATAATAATAATAATAATAATAATAATAATAATAATAATAATAATAATAATAATAATAACAATAATAATAATAATAATAATAATAATAATAATAATAATAATGAAAACTTTATTAATAGAACATTTATAGATATATACAATTGTAAATCTCACTTCTTGAGGTAACCTACAATTGACTACTTGAATCACTTATACATGCATGGTTATAATTTTATATACAAAAATTGTTGATTATTTATAGAAATAGTTACTTTAAATGTTCATTAGTTCGGGATTAGTCCATTCTTTATTTCTACAGCAAAATATGTAGTACGTTGATCGGATGGCAATAGATATAATTTTTCTGACACAATATTGTTGGTGTTGATTACCCAGCCTAACTCATTTAGCATTTTTACGAATGCATGACATTCTTTGTCAAACATCCCTAGCGAACTGACAGAAAGATTTATAAATTTAACAGATGTAAAGTTTTGATCCAGTTCTCTAATTAGGTTTTTATATTTAGCTTTCTTGCGGTTAACATTGTTTGTGAGGTTTGATTCAAAGCCTACGGTAAGTTCAACAACGTAGAGGTGTTTGTCTGAAGTGGAGACAAGTAAATCAGGACGATATTCATCTCCGGTAATAATCGAGGGGCTTTCAAATCCAGGAAGATCAACATGTAATTTGCATTCGTTTAAACTTTGAAAAGTTTTTGCAAGAAAGTTTAGTATGGAATCGTGTCTCCAAGTAAATCGTTCCAAGTAATGTTGACAACCGGCAACAACGTGTAGAAGTGATTCAGGGTGTAAGCAGAACGAGCAGTCAGAACTTGATGAAATTCCCCATCTACTGAGTTCTTTCGGGTAGGAAGGGTATTATTTATATAGCGAATTGTAAAGTTGAAAATGTTCTTTGGTAGCTTTGATTGCGATACCGACCAGATTGCGTTAAGTTGTGATAGGGAGAATTTAGAAACATTTTCGAAAAAGGAACCTTGACATTTCAAACGGTTCCTAAGTTTATTTTCTTGTTGAGAATGCGAAGTTTTTAAAAATTCTTTAGTTGAGTTGTAGCTATCGTATTGAATGTTAGTATGATTATTAGTTGACTTCCACAGTTCGTTTATTGAATCGTTTGGAGATGTTTTTAGGGCATTGCGTAGAACTGTTTGACACTGAATGAATTTGACTGATGCAGGGAGGATATTTAGACCAAACTTATTACGGGTTAGGAAAACGTTACTTAGTGTTCCAGATATAGGTACTTCCAGCCACTTTCGGATGTACTTGTTCACCGAAGAATCGATATTTTCGACTACACAAGTTTTAGATATCGTAGCAACAGTAAAATGCCAGGATAGTTTCGACAAAACATAACGACTGTAAAGTAAAATTTTGTTTTTTGGGTGAAGAGATTTAAGATCTATTTCGGACATTAGTTCATCAATGAGGAAAATCTGCCCGAAATCAGTTTAGATTTATGTTTTTCATTAGTCATGCTAAAGTCGAAGTGTCGTCCCAAATACTCAAATGATTCATAATGATTTATTTTTATTGATAAAAATAATAATATTAATAATAATAATAATAATAATAATAATAATAATAATGGAAACTTTATTTATTGATTATTAGGATATATACAACTACAATGATAAACCTCGCTTTACAGGTAGTTTATCAATGTCTACTTGAATTGATACTATATATTTATTGTACAATAATTATTTTAAGAAGGATTATATTAACATTAATTTTGGGTTATCCCACACCTTGTTTCGTTTACAAAATACATAATATGATGTTCGTATGCATATGTTCACGATTTGCTTTTTTATGTATTTACCATACTTGGCATCACATTTAAGGCTACTTAGCATGCCATCGAAATTTTCACAAGATCGGCCAAAAACTCCGAGGGTACTCAAGGATAAATTGACGAACTTAACTTTATCATAATCTGCTTCCTGCTCATTGATTAGATCACGATACTTTTGACGCTTACGATTGGCGTTAACTAGCAGATTGGATTCATAACCGACTGTAAGCTCGAGGATGTATAGACATCTGTTTTCAG